CAAGTATATACAGAATTGTATAATCCTCAACCACAATCTAATTTTAGAACATTCCACCACTGCCATCACCCCCAGAGAAGCGTTGTGTCCATTTCCAGTTACTCTCACTCCCACTTCAGCTGTAGGCAACCATTAATCTACTTTCTGTCTCTCTGCTCTTTACTTTTTTTCTTTTTAAGATTTCATTTATTTGAGAGAGAGCACGAGCAGAGAGAGGGGCAGAAGGAGAGAGACAAACCGACTCCCGGAGTGGAGAACCTTTCTTGGGGCTCCATCCCAGGATCCTGAAATCATGACCCAAGCTGAAGTCAGATGCTTAACCAACTGAGCCACCCAAGTGCCCCTGTATCCTCTCTACTTCTATGGACATTTCATATAAATGAAATCACATAATATCTTGTCTTCTGTGTTTGGCTTCTTTCACTTAGTGTGATGTTTCATACATAGTGTTACATGTATTAATATTTTGTTCTTTTTTGTTGTTGAGTAGTATTCCCAACAAATATATCATGTTTTGTTTTTCCATTCACCAACTGATAGACATTTGAGTTGTTTCCACTTTTTTGGCTATTCTGAATAATGTTTTTATCAACATTTGCATACAAGTCTTTGTGTTGACATAAACTTTCATTTCTTGTGAGTAAATATGTAGGAGTGGAATTGCTGGGTCATATGGTAAATCCGTATTTAACATTTCAAGAAACTGCCAACCTCTTTCCCCCCTAGTCACTGTGCCATTTTACGTTCCTTCAGTAATGTGTGATGGTTCCAGTTTCTCCACATCCTTCTCAGCATTTGTTATTTTGTGTCATTATTATTATAGGTTGTGAAATAGTGCGTCATTGTGGTTTTAACTTGCATCATCATCATGGCATGTCCTTGTTCTGCTGTTGTTGGTTGGAGTTTTTGATCGATGTTGATTTTATCCTGTTGGTTGATAGTATTGTCTTATAGCCTTGTTGAATTTGTCTATTTGTTCCATCAGTCATTGGGAGGGGATATTGTTTATTTGCTCCATATGTTTTCAGATTCATTAGTGCTCTGAAATTTTACAATTATGTGCCTTGTAGGTGTATTTTCATCCGCAATGCTGACCTCATTGTGCTCTTTCAATGTGGAAATTCATGTCCTTCAATCCTGTACATTTTTCAGTTGTTTCCTTGATTTCTTCTTTGTCTTCTCTGTATTCTTTCTGAAATTCCATTTATTTGGATATTGGTTCCTTTAAGCCAATGTTACCTTTTTTTTTCTGTATTTCACGAGATAGCCTCAAGTTTCTCTTCAAGCTTTCTATTGATTTTTTTTCTGTCTTATTATATCCTATTTTTATTTTCCAAATCTTTGTTGCTTTGTTTCTTGTCTCATTTGTGGTTCATGTACACAATTTGTTCTTGTCTCTCGAGGATTTCTGCAAGTCAGGTTTATTGTGATATAGTTTATGTATGATAAAAATTCACCTGTTTTAGTGCATAGTTCTATTAGTTTTGACAGGTAACTATCACCATAATCAAGATGGAAAACAGTTCTTTGAGGACTTTGACCATCACTGATGTCACTATTTTTAGGAGAGAGAGAGAGAGAGAGAGAGAGAGAGAGAGAGAGAGTGTGTGTGTGTGTGTGTGTGTGTGTGTGTGTGTGTGTGTGTGTGTGTTTTCCCCTGGGACTTATCAGAGTTCCCAAAGAAGGATCTTCTGTACTCTTCCTGAAGTATATAAAGCTGGCTGCAAGCATCCATGAGGCAAATGGTAGAAAGAAGGTTAGATCTCAACATTAAGTATGTAAACTTTCACTTGATCCCCTGTTAGACTATACTCCGCTCCTTCATTCATGCCTGGTGTTTCCTAAACCAAGGACTCTTGTTTTAAATATTCCATACAATAAAACTTTTATTGGAATAGGGAAAGGGGAGATCCCTGGATGGCTCATGGGGATCCCTGGATGGCTCAGTGGTTTAGTGCCTGCCTTCAGCCTGGGGCGTGATCCTGGAGGCCCAGGATCGGGTCCCACATCCGGCTCCCTGCATGGAGCCTGCTTCTCTCTCTGCCTGTGTCTCTGCCTCTCTCCCTCTGTGCCTCTCATGAATAAATAAATAAAATCTTTTTTTTTTTTTTAAATAAAATCTTTAAAAAAAAAAAAAAGGAATAGGGAAAGGAATCTAGGGGCTAATTGTGTCTTAAATGGATATTCAGTCATTCTCCTTATTCTTAAACCCACATTTATCCTTACTTCTTGATGTCCTCAATATTGCCAATTCCTGAAACTTTTGGGGATTCTGCTTTTACCATTCCTCACTGCTGATTTAGGATTTGGCTTTCTCAAATCTGCTGTCATTTATCATTTCTGCTTTTCAGTTTTCAAATGTTATTGTCATCAACTCATTATTTCTCTTTGTCCTTATGTGTTTTATGCCTTTAAAAACCCTTTACTATCATTGTAATGGGGTTTCAGGGAAGGGTAGAAGTAATTACATATGTTTAGTCCATTATCTTTAATAAAAGTTCCTCTTTTTTTTTTTAAAAGATTTTATTTATTTATTCATGAGAGACACACACATACACAGAGAGGGGCAGAGACACAGGCAGAGGGAGAAGCAGGCTCCATGCAGGGAGCCTGATGTGGGACGTGGGACTCAATCACCTGTCTCCAGGATCAGGCCCTGGGCTGAAGGCGGCACTAAACCGCTGAGCCACCTGGGCTGCCCCAAGCTCCCCTTTCTTTAAAAAAGAAACGCTTACCTGTACAAATGATCCTTTATGGGATCCAGCTTCTATCTCTCCAGCCTCATTTTTCACTCTACTACAACCCACTTCCAGCCTAAGCTTCAGTCACATGCATCTTAAGAGATTGCCAGACAAACCATGTTGCTTCATGCCCTTCAGTTCTGCACATGCTGTTTTTTCTTTTTTTTTTAATATATTTTTTTAAGTTTATTTATTTATGATAGGCACACAGTGAGAGAGAGATTGAGGCAGAGACACAGGCAGAGGGAGAAGCAGGCTCCATGCACCGAGAGCCCGACGTGGGATTCGATCCCGGGTCTCCAGGATCGCGCCCCAGGCCAAAGGCAGGCGCCAAACCGCGGCGCCACCCAGGGATCCCCATGCTGTTTTTTCAATGTGTTATTTGTCCTTTAAGTCTCTCCTCAGTAAAGCTTTCCTGACTCCCATGACTGCCCCTCTGTCAGAGTGTTTATTGTATTACTGCAATTATTTATTTTTTAAAAAGTCTCATCTGAAAGGTCTTTAAACCTGGAGTTGCAGCTGGAAGGGATGCCCATGGATCAATGGCAAGAAATCTTAGAGTACCCTGAGATTATTTCCAAATTTTCATGTGTTTGTGCATATTTTTGGAAAATTCTCTAAGGCAGATTTTCTTCCAAGAGTGTGCATCAGAAATGCTGCAGAGCTTTTTAAAAATATAATTGCTTTGGGCTTCACTCCAGAGACCTGCTGAGTTCTAGTCTGAAGTTAGGGCCCAGAAAGATCGTATTTTCTAAAAGCTTTCCAAGTGATTGTTTAGAAGAGCATCTCTGATCCATCATCTACATTAATTCCAGTGCCTGGCATATAGTGGATGCTCAGTAAACATTTAAAAAATGAATGAGGGAGGAACTTGTGTTCAGGTCATGGCTTGAAATAAATTTCCTGTGGGAAACTTGAGTGCAAGTGGGGGAATCACTAATTTATTCTTTTATGTAAAGGAAGTAATAGTATATTTTCCCCCTCTTTGGATATAATTGAAGGAATAGAAAATTGTGATTGTTTTTTCAAAGGTAGAGGAAAGGGGATCCCTGGGTGGCTCAGCGGTTTAGCGCCTGCCTTTGGCCCAGGGCGTGATCCTGGAGTCCCGGGATCGAGTCCCGCATAGGGCTCCTGGCATGGAGCCTGCTTCTTCCTCTGCCTGTGTCTCTGCCTCTCTCCCCCTCTCTCTCTCTATGCCTATCATAAATAAATAAATAAAATCTTAAAAAAAAACAACCCAGGGATCCCTGGGTGGCGCAGCGGTTTGGCGCCTGCCTTTGGCCCAGGGCGCGATCCTGGAGACCCGGGATCGAATCCCACGTCGGGCTCCCGGTGCATGGAGCCTGCTTCTCCCTCTGCCTGTGTCTCTGCCTCTCTCTCTCTCTCTCTCTCTCTCTGTGACTATCATAAATAAATAAAAAAAAAAAATTAAAAAAAAAAAACCCAAAGGTAGAGGAAAGCTCTGAAGAGCTAACTGAAAGAATGAAAAAAATTTAAGGATTGGGCATAAAACAAGTCAGATACATATAGTTTTGTTCTTCTGCCTGTTTGTAGTTGTATTTGACCCAGTGATTTGATTCCTTTTTTTTTTAAGATTTTATTTATTTATTTATTTATTTATTTATTTATTTATTTTTTATTTATTTATTTATTTATTTAAGAAAGAGAGCACAAGCAGGGGCAGGGGGAGAAGGAAAGAGAGAGAGGCAGAAGCAGACTCTCTACTGGACACAGAGCTTGACATGGGGCTCCATCCCAGGACCCTGAGATCAAGACCTGAGCTGAAGTAGTCAGATGCTTAGCTGACTGAGCCATCCAGGTGCCCCTAGTGATTTGATTCTAAAACTAGGCTTCAAGACATATGGATATCATTGATATTACTATATAGACATGATTTCATAACCTGTAAATTTAAATTTAATTTAAATATATATATATATATATACATATATATATATATATATAGAGAGAGAGAGAGAGAGAGAGAAAATGGAAAGACTGACATATTGCATTGGCAAAAATCTCTGCCATAATATTAACTGGCTGCAACTAAGGAATGAGAACAGAAAGAGCCCAATTTCCTGTCTTGTATTTCCTCTGTTTAAGATTTTTTAAAGTATATAAATTAGAACTATGTCCTCTGCTTTACTCCTAAACCTCTTTTACATAGTGTTGTGTTTTTATATATATCTGTTAAGGGTATATCAGGCTCTTTTGCTTTTTGTATTTTCCATATATTATTTTTGTTTTCTTGTTTAGGTATTTAAGAGATTATGGCATCTGAAGCCCACAATGTTAAAAAACGAACCTTTTGTAATAATATTGAGGATCACTCCACTGATCTTCCTAGAAAAAGGATCTCTAATTTTACTAATAAGAACATGAAGGAGGTAAGTGCATAGTTTCTAGGTAATGGGTAAGACAGTATATCTTCATCTGTTCATGGTGCTATAGAATACCATAGACTGGGGGACTTATAAACAATGGAAATGGATTTCTCACAGTTCTGGAGGCTGGGAAGAAGTACAAGATAAAGGCCCTGGCCAATATGGTATCTGATTAGAGCCTGTTTCCTGGTTCATAGGTGGCTGTCTTCTCTGCTGTCTCCTCCTCACATGGCGGGAGAGGCAAGAGAGCTCCCCATGGTCTCTTTTATAAGGGTACTGATCCCATTCTGAGGGTGCCCCCCTCATGACCTAATCATCTCCCAGAGGCCCCACCTCCTCATATCCTTCACTTGGGGCATTTAGGATTTCAGCATGAATTTTGGGGAGACACAGTCATTCAGTACATCACAGAAAGTTTAAACCATTAAGTCTATGGATAGTTTTAGTTAAATTATTTAAACAACAAAAAGGTGATGATTTGCTTAATCTCCCAAAATTAAGTGGAATTAATGAAATATTGAAAACTGTTTATATTCCAAAAGATCTAAAAAGTTTATGGACAGTATGGTGTTTTGGTATATCATTTGAGTATTATAGTTTAATTCTAAAGAGGAATCACAGAGGTGCTTTTTTTTTTCACCGTTGCAATGCTCATTCATGCTGATATTTCTTTTAAGTGATATTAAAAGTCAACATACTTACTAAGTACCATGTAAGTAAAATATCCGACTAGTGGCATGGAAAATAGGGAGTTGGGTATGTTGCTTTGTCAAGTATACCTACACACAATGTTATAACTATAGACTGATACTGCAGCTTTAATCTGAAAAACTTACCTATGGAATTTCATATTTGTTGATATCAGTCACAAAGTTTACATAGCTTCACAAAAGAACTTAAATATGCTGTTAATTATCTACTTTTATTTTTCAGGTTAAGAAATCTCCAAAACAGTTGGCTGCTTACAAAAATAGGTAAGAGCTTCTTTAAAGTTTGTAGGAAACAAATAATAAAAGGTAAGAATGAAAAGAGAGGAAAAGAGAAGTTTTCTCTTTTATTAGTAAGCAATTTATTGTCAAATAGCTCCTTCGTGCCCGTCACTGTGGAAAACACATCAGTATTATCTCCAAATCCTTACAATAACCCAACTAGAAAGATATCATGGATCCTAATAGTTGATGAGAAAAACTAAAGATGTGTGATTTGTTCAGGGTCATACAGCCAGAAAATGTTAAAAATGGCATTCATTCTCAGATCTTCTGAACTCTAAAGGCACTTTCTACTAAACTGCTGGTGCTCAAAATGGACCTGAGGACAGTAGGGGTCCTGGGAGTTTATGAGGTCAAGACTATATTCATAACAATAACATTAACTCACCTTCATTTTCACTCTTACAAATACAGTAGAGTTTTCCAGGGGCTACATGATATTTGATACCATAGTACATTAAATTCAAAAGCATTTCTGAGAATCCAGATGTCTTCTGTTAAACTAGATATTAGAGATTTTGCACAAATGTAAAAAACAGTGCCATTCTTCTCGCTATATTTTGTTTTGGAAGACAGGGTTTTTGGTAAAATATTCTATGTTAATATGTAATGAGCTTATTATTTCTTAAGTGAATCAATAAGTTTCCTCAGTTTCAGTGTCTGATATAGTAAATATCAGTAGATATTTCCCACATAAAAGAATTCTTTTGAAACCTCAGTAATTTTTAAGAGTTGCAAGGCATTTTGAGGCCAGAATATTTGAGAATCACCATATGAAAGATTTGCTCTGTTGTGTTTTATCATACTTAAACAAATTAAATATACTTAATTTTAATCAAAATAAGTATTTTGGGGGCCCCGGGGTGGCTCAGTTACTTAAGCATCTACTTTTGGCTCAAGTCATGATCCCAGAGTCTGGGATCCAGCCCCAAGTCAAGCAAACTACTCAGTGGGTAGTCTGCTTCTCCCTCTCCCTCTTACCCTCCCCTCTGCTCATGTTCTCCCTCCCTCTCTCTGTCTCTCTTAAATGAATAAATAAAAAATCTTTATATATATATTCAGATTTTCACAATTCAAACTTCTATTTCCTTTTTTTCTTTTTTTTTTTTTAAGATTTATTTATTTATTCACAAGAGACAGAGAGAGAGAGAGACGCAGAGACACAGGCAGAGGAGCCAGAGCGTGACGCGGGACTCGATCCCGGGAATCCAGGATCACGCCCTGGACCAAAGGCAGGTGCTAAACCGCTGAGCCACCCAGGGATCCCCGCCCTATTTCTTTTTTAAAGCATCTAGTTATTATGCCTCTTTAGTTTCATTTGGTATAAAGTATCCTTTTCATTGGTTTCCAAATGGTTTGTAATTTTTTCCCTTTTACTTTCCACTTTGATCTAAGAGTTAAGAGTTTTTAAATTCTCTTTATTTCTGGGACGCCTGGGGGGCTCAGCGGTTGAGCGTCTGTCTTCGGCTCAGGTTGTGACCCCGGGGTCCTGGGATCGAGTTCTGCCATCAGGGTCCCCACAGGGAGCCTGCTTCTCCTTCTGCCTGTGTCTCTGCCTGTGTGTGTGTGTGTCTCATGAATAAATAAAATAAAATCTTAAAAAAAAATTCTAATTTTAGTGAATTGTGATCACAAAATGTGGCCTATTAAATCTTTCTGCTTAAAAAGTTGTAACAGTTTTCATCTTCTTTTTCATTTAAACAAATCAATTTTTCTTACAGAACAGTTGGACAAGCTGTGAAAAGCCCAGATAAACTACGCAAGGTGATCTATCGCAGAAAGAAAGTGCATCATCCTTTTCCAAATCCTTGTTACAGAAAAAAACAGTCCCCTAGAAGTGGGGGCTGTGACATGGCAAATAAAGAAAATGAACTAGCTTGTGCAGGCCACCTGCCTGAAAAATTACGCCATGATAGTCGAACATATTTGGTTAACTCCAGTGATGCTGGTTCTTCACAGACAGAAAGCCCATCATCAAAATATAGTGGGTTTTTTTCTGAGGTAAGTTATTTAAATGAGCATAACTTTGTTCCTATTGCACTATTTGTATTTTTATTTGTCATATTCTGCTAGCAGAGTCATCCATTGCCTGTTGAATTCAGACTGAGTGATTATAACACCCTGAGACAGTTTTCTAGATTAACCAAATTTGAATCAGTAGTTACTCCATTTCCCTAAGTTAGCGATATCTGAAATGGAATGAAATGGTTGATAAGCTGCATTAAATATTCAGAATGGCAAGTTAGGCAGCAGAGAATTTAAAGGAAAGGAAAAGAAGGAAATCTTGCCTAAAACGTAGACTACCAAAGCTAGTTACCCAGGAACGTTTTGCTTGGCTCTCAGAATTGCCACTGGAAGCTTCATTCAGGCAAACAAACCTGCTGAGGTTTGCTGCTCTTTTAACTCAGGTGAAAGTAATTGTTTGAACAGGCTCAGGAACAGGCTCAGGGGAATTGAGGGGCGGGGTGGGTGTGGGTAATAAGAAATACTCTAAAACTGGATTGTAATGATGGTTGTATAATTCTGTAAATTTATTAAAAATTGTATTACATACTTTCAATGGGAGGGATTTATGATACAACACCTCAAAAACAGGTTTTTTAAAAAAATGGTCATTTGAAGGAATAGTTAAGTTTATAAATATGAGTTTATAATAATTATTACATGTTTATTGTATATGTTGTAGAAACTAAACCCGAAGGAAAAAATTAGTCATAATCTCAACATTTAGAAATAACAGTATTAAATTTTTAATGTACCTATTTTTATCATATTGTACATGTTTGCTTACTTGATTTTTATGTTTAACAAATTTGGATTTTTTTCCATATAATTAAATGCTTCCACAGTTTTTTAATGGATACATAACATTAATTTCTTTTGCTATGATTTGGTAAACTTAGTATTATTTCTCTCTGGCATGATAGCTTGGAAAACATTTTCTGTGGCATACAAACAAAAAATTTTCTTTTTAAAGATCTATTTATTAATTAGAGAGCAATTGCATATGCACAAGTAGGGGGAGGGGCAAAAGGGAGAAGGAGAGAGAATCTCAAGCAGCCTTCCCTCTGAGTGCAGAGCCCCACACAGGCTCCATGTCATGATCCTGACAAAGACCTGAGCAGAAACCAAGAGTCTGACGCTCAATCAACTGAGCCACTCAGGCACCCCAGAAAAAAAAAATTAATTAAAATGGTCATGAGTGAAAATGAGCATCACATTTAGGATAATAATTACAAGTAAATAAGATGAAAGGAGGATGGAAATTTAAATATTATTGAGTAAAACCATAATGAATTGATGCAAAAAAAAAAAAGAGGTTGCATTTGAATATGTTTTTACTTGTAAAAATAAAATCCTGAAGTAATAGGAAATAATTCCAGGAGAAGTGAAGGAAGTACATACAGTATTTGTGAGAAGGGAAGAAGCAGGGGGGGTGCCTGGATGGCTTAGTCATTTAAGTTTTTGACTCTATTTCCGCTCAGATCCTGATCTCGGGGTCATGAGGTTGAGTCCCTGTAGGACACTGTGCTCAGTGCAGAGTCTGCTTGGGATTCTTTCCCTTTTCCTCTTTCTCCCCTTCTGCGCCTTCCTGTGTGTGAGCTCACTCTCTTTAGCTCTCTCTCTCTCTCTCCAAAAATAAATCTTAAAAAAAAAAAAAAAGGAAGCAGGGAAGTTTGATTTAATAGTGAACTACCCTGGGGACACCTGGGTGACTGAGTGGTTGAGCATCTGCCTTTGGCCAAGGTCGTGATCCCCGGGATCCTGGGATCGAGTCCAAATCACACTCTCCTCAAGGAGCTTGCTTCTCCCTCTGCCTGTGTCCCTGCCTCGCTCTGTGTCTCTCATGAATAAATAAATCTTAAAAAAAAAAAAAAAAAAAGGACGCCTGGGTGGCTCAGTGGTTGAGTGTCTGCCTTCAGCTCAGGGCATGATCCTGGAGTCCTGGCATCAAGTCCCACATCGGGCTCCCTGCAGGGAGCCTGCTTCTCCCTCTGCCTGTGTCTCTGCCTCTCTCTCTATGTCTCTCATGAATAAATAAAATCTTTAGAATAAATAAAATAAAATAAAAAGTTTCAGTTGTACATTTGAATTAGTGCCATGGTGAGTCATTTTTTCAAGGACCTCCTTTTACTTTTGATTACTTTGCACAAACTTTCCTTAACCTGACAACTAATAAGTTGATTGATCTTATTATTTCTTTCTCTTCTTTTTTTTTTAAAGATTTATTTATTTTTAGAGAGAGAAAGCTGGGGCGGGGGGTAGGAGGCAGAAGCAGAGAGCGTGTTAAGCAGACTCTGTACTGAGCAATGAGCCCAGTGCCAGGCTTGATCTTACAACCTGATCACAACCTAAGCCAAAACCAAATCAATCACTTACCTGACTCTGCCACCCAGAAGCCCCTGATCTTTTTCCATACCTTTTTTTCCTGACTCACTAGTGCCTGCTCTAAAAACCTAAATCTAAAAGTAGTGACATTATTTTGTCAAAGTTCAAATACACATAACCATTTGACTCGGCCGTTCTATATGCCTGGGTATATAACCAAGAGAATCCAAAATACATGTCTACACAGTTATAAAGAGATGTTCATAATATTCATAGTAGCCTATTCCAATGTCCTTCACCTGATGTATGGATAAACAAAATATTCATGCAGTGGAATATTATCTGATTATTATAAAGAAGTAAAGGAGCAATATATGCTACACTATGTATAAACCTTGAAAACATTGTGCTGTGGGAGAGAAGCCACATCAAAAGAGGCCACATATTGTATAATTTAATTTATATGAACTGTCTAGATAGGTGAAGTCTTAGAGACAACAAGTAGATTAATGGTTGCCAGGGACTGGAAAGAAGGGAGAATGGAGTTCAGAGTTTCTCTTGGGGATGATGAAAATGTTGATTTTAAAATTGATTGTGGGGATTGTACAACTCCACAAATGTACTAAAAACTACCAAATTGTAGGACAGCCCCTGTGACCCAGCAGTTTAACTCTGCCTTTGGCCTGGGGTGTGTTCCTGGAGACCCGGGATCCGGTCCCACGTCAGGCTCCCTGCATTGAGCCTGCTTCTCCCTCTGCCTGTGTCTCTGCCTCTCTCTCTCTCGAATAAATAAAATCTTAAAAAAAAAAACAAAACTACCAAATTGTACATTTTATTTTTTTATGTTATTTATTTTTTAAAAGCTTAAGTATTTTATTTGTTTGCAACTAAGCTTCTTAACACTATGTAATGAAAATGTACAAAGAATGTTGCAGTTTTTGGTTAGATTTAAGTCAAAGACATTCATTAATAAGGAATCTTCAAATATGAATACTCCAGAATTTCTCTAAGCCATCTGATCAGAACAACTGTCTCTGAATATTACCTTACCTTGGAAGGTAGTGGCATACATTTGAATTAAACTCAGAATTTTTCAAAATAAGCCCTAATTGGGATCCCTGGGTGGCGCAGTGGTTTGGCGCCTGCCTTTGGCCCAGGGCGCGATCCTGGAGACCCGGGATCGAATCCCACATCGGGCTCCCGGTGCATGGAGCCTGCTTCTCCCTCTGCCTATGTCTCTGCCTCTCTCTCTTTCTCTCTCTCTCTCTCTCTGTGTGTGTGTGACTATCATAAATAAATAAAAAATTAAAAAAAATCTCATTTATAAAAAAAAGCCCTAATTAATAAAACTATTCTATATTCAGAATAAAACAATTTTAATAGAACTTTCCTTTCCAGACAAAACAATAAAGGAAACAAGACATTTTGTAAAATGTGGTCCTGAACAAGTCACAGTAAAAAATAAATGTATACTTAACTTCCACCTCCTCAAAACAGAGGCTACTTTCTGTTCCACAGCCTTGGAAACAAGGTGAAGAACAGTCTGTAAGCAACTTTGGGCGGGGGGTTGCCAAAACAAAGCTCAAGCAGTTGAACATGGTCACTTTTAAAAAAGAATTTGGGGGAGCCTGATCAAAAGATCCAAATTCTGTTTTTAATAACCGATACAAAGGCGAAGTGGCTCCTCACAAGTAGCAGTGCCACCAGGGGCTGACCCTGCCCCTTGCTCACCTGTGTTGTGCTCCCAAGCAAACCCTGATGCTCCTGCTCCAGGGGAGACTTTTTTTTTAGAGGTTCATTGTCCAGGGAGCTCTCGTGTGAATGAAGTGAGCACAGATTCCACGTGAGTATTTTAAGGTTTGGAGTCAAAGTATTTTCCAACACGACTAGGCAGTCCATGTGTCAAACAGCCTGTCTCCAGTTTGTCCTAATTCCTCACCACACATTTGTAGACCTAGGACCACAGACCTATGCTATGTCATCATAATCACATCTAAAAATTGTACATTTTTTTAAAGATTTTATTTATTTATGAGAGACACAGAGAAAGAGAGGCAGAGACACAGGCAGAGGGAAAAGCAGGCTCCATGCAGGGAGCCCGACACGGGACTCGATCCGGGTCTCCAGGACCACACCCTGGGCCGATGGCAGGCACTAAACCACTGAGCCATCCAGGGATCCCCCAAATTGTACATTTTAAATGGTTAAGTTTTATCATATGTGAATTATATTTTAATTGTTATTTTTAAAAAATGGATCTAGTTTCAGTTCTAAAATGAATCTTACAGAAATATTTGTACAAGTGCACATATTTACATAGAGAAGGATGTTTCTTGATGTGTAGTTTTAATAGGAAAAAACCAGCCAATTTTAATAAATGATGGTATATAACAACTGGAGACTATAATTGTTTTTTAAAAATGAGGATCTGTGTTTTGACATTAAAATCTTTATAAAATAAAAGTGAAAAACAAAGTTTTCAAAAATACAGATATTATAGTATTTTAATTTTATATCTACCTAATTTGTCTATCTGGAAAATGGTTTGGAAAGATACATACCAGTCTATTAACTGTGATTACTTCTGGGAAGTGATACTAGATTTTATCTGGACACATAGAGATTATTCACTTTTTCTTTGATTCATTTCCATGCTATTTGAACTTTTTTTTTTTTAAAGATTTTATTTATTCATGGCAGACATACAGAGAGGGGGAGAAAAAGGCAGAGACACAGACAGAGGGAGAAGCAGGCTTCATGCAGGGAGCCCAAAGTCTCGATCCCGGGTCTCCAGGACCTGGCCCTGGGGTAAAGGTGGCGCTAAACCTCCGAGCCACCCGGGCTGCCCCTATTTGAACTTTTTACAATAGAAATATATTACTTTATTATATAGAAAAACTGAGTGTATTTATTTATTTATTAAAGATTTTATTTATTCATGAGAGGCACAGAGAGAGAGGGGGGGGGGCAGAGACACAGGCAGAGGGAGAAGCAGGCTCCCCGCAAGGCACCCGGACTCAATCCTAGGACTCCAGGATGATGACTTGAGCCAAAGGCAGATGCTCATCTGCTCAACCGCTGAGCCACCTAGGTGTCCCGAGTGAATAAATTTAAATGCTGGTTGCAGAACTGAATTTTTATTGTTTCCTTCCCATGTTACTTAGTTGATAATGACTATCCTGTATATATTTACCTTTTCCTTTAATCCATATAATAAATTAAATCCTAGGTTTATAGGTGAACTAAAAATAATTTGCTGAAAATGATTTCATGCTTTCAGTGTGCTTTTTAACAAATTAGATTACTGCCTTTCAGGTTTCTCAGGATCATGAAACAATGGCACAGGTTTTGTTCAGCAGGAATTTGAGATTGAATGTAGCTTTAACATTCTGGAGAAAGAGAAGTATAAGTGAACTTGTAGCTTATTTGGTGAGGTAAGTGTGACCTCCAAGCTTGATAAATTAATAAAGTACTTTCCAGTGTTTTATGTTGAAGTGCCTCTTTTTTTTTATGTTATACTGGTATTTTAAATTTCCTATATTTGGCTTCAGTTACAACAGTATAGCCTAAATTATATATATCACTAGTCTATGAGTAACCAAAATACAGGAAAGCATCTGTTTCATCATATTGAACAAAGCTATTACCTTTCCTAAGATTCTTATATATAAAACTAAGAAATAGGGATCCCTGGGTGGCGCAGTGGTTTAGTGCCTGCCTTTGGCCCAGGGCGTGATCCTGGAGACCCGGGATCGAATCCCACGTTGGGCTCCCGGTGCATGGAGCCTGCTTCTCCCTCTGCCTGTGTCTCTGCCTCTCTCTCTCTCTCTCTCTCTCTCTCTCTCTGTGTGTGTGTGTGACCATCATAAATAAATAAAAATTAAAAAAAAATAAATAAAACTAAGAAATATCAGGTTGGGGGGATCCCTGGGTGGCGCAGCGGTTTAGCGCCTGCCTTTGGCTCAGGGCACGATCCTGGAGACGCGGGATCGAATCCCACGTCGGGCTGCCGGTGCATGGAGCCTGCTTCTCCCTCTGCCTATGTCTCTGCCTCTCTCTCTCTCTCTCTCTGTGTGACTATCATAAATTAAATAAAATAAAAATTATAAAAAAAATCAGAAATATCAGGTTGGGGAAAGTAACCTTTTAAAAATCCCCTTTGAGTGAAAATTTTAAGCATGGCCTTCCTCAGTATATTCAAGTCTCTTCTCAAACATTTTTTTTTCCTAGAGAGATAGAGGGCAAGGAGTATGTGGGCACATGGGGAGTGGAGGAAGCGGTGGCAGGCAGAGAGAGAGAGAGAGGGAGAGAAAGATTCTTAAGCAGTCTCCATGCTCAGAGCACAGAGCCCACAGGGACCAGATCTCATGTTCCTGAGATGATGATGACCTGAACCAAAAGCAAGAGTCATGCTTACCCTCCTGAGCCACCCAGATGCCCCATTTCTCAAGCATTATCTTAATGAGGCCTTGCCTGACCACCTTATTTCAAAATACATATTTATTCACTGTCTCTCCTTTTTTTTTTTCCGTAGCACTTACTACCATCCACATGCTCTATATATTTTACTTATTTGTTATCTGTCTCTGCCTTCATCCACACACCATCCCCACACACGCTCTGAAATACAAATGCTCTCTTTGTTTACGGCTGTATCCCCAACACCTGGCTCATCATAGAGACTCAGATTATTTGTTCAATGAGTAGATTTCTCAAAAGTAATGTGCAGGTTATAAATAAGGAAATCAGCTCTCTAAGCAGTTTTGTACCCACAGGATAGAAGACCTTGGAGTTGTTGTGGATTGCCTTCCTGTGCTCACCAATAGGTAAAAAATATTTTTCAGAAAAAAGTAAGGTTAAAGGAGGACAAATGCCTTGTTCATATTTTTACAACTTAGTATTTGTTTTAGTTTACAGGAAGAAAAACAATACATCTCACTTGGCTGCTGTGTAGATTTGTTGCCTCTAGTAAAGTCCCTACTTAAGAGCAGATTTGAAGAGTAAGTGCTAATGTGACTCAGTTGATTTTTCTCTTTCAACATCCTTGATTTTGTTTCTTGTGAGTGTATAGCAGTAGATTGAGCTCCGTGAGATATGCATGGTTTCTGTTTTCAAGGAGCTTATTTATAGTCCAATTAAGAAAAGAATATGAAATGAGTAAAGAATAATTACAAAAGCATCTGTAAACAACTTACATAAATTACAGCTTTTGAAAGTAGTAAAAAAAAATTCTTTTTTAAGGGGAAAGATCAGTGTGTCTGCTTTTTGAAGTGGGGGCAGAGTTTGTATCCTTTTTTGTAAAGTCTTCTTATATGAAAACACTTGAATTTTGTAATCTAATGTCATTTCAGATATATAATAGTTGGCTTAAACTGGCTTCAAGCAGTCATAAAAAGGTGGTGGTCAGAACTATCATCCAAAACAGAAATTATAAATGATGGGTGAGTATATCTTTAAAGAGAAACTCAATCTAATAACATTTTTTTCAGAAAAGCCATTTGAGGGCAGCCCGGGTAGGTCAGTGGTTTAGCGCCGCCTTCAGCCCGGGGTGTGATCCTGGAGACCTGGGATCAAGTCCCTGCGTGGAGCCTGCTTCTCCCTCTGCCTGTGTCTCTGCCTCTCTCTCTCTCTCTCTCTCCCTCCCTCTCTCTCTCTGTGTCTCTCATGAATAAATAAATAAAATCTTTGTAAAAAAAAAAAAGCCATTTGATTAAACTAGGTAATAGGGGGATCCCTGGGTGGCTCAGCGGTTTACACCTGCCTTTGGCCCAGGGCTCTATCCTGGAGTCCCGGGATCGAGTCCCACGTTGGGCTCCCAGCATGGAGCTTGCTTCTCCCTCTGCCTGTGTCTCTGCCTCTCTCTCTCTCTCTCCCTCTCTCTCTCTCTCTCTCTCTCTCTCTCTCTCTATCATGAATATATAAATAAAATCTTTAAAAAATAAAAAATAAAAATAAACTAGGTAATAATTCTATTCCATTATCATCATTAAATAATAACTGATTTTCTTTATCTTTAGAGAAATATTAAATTGGAATAGTGTTCACATGTGAAAATTATACTTGGAAGTTGAATTCCAAAGCCCAGTAATTCCCTCTTTTTTTCTGACAGAACCTTATACTTCATTTTAGGAAGGAAAAAGCACAGTAGTTGTTTAGCCCTCATATCTGTTACAGTGAGTAAAGGAGAAAAAAAGAGATGGCTTCTGGTGGACTAAGAATTGAGGCACAGGGATGGAAGCATCCTGCAACCTATAAGTCTTTTGACTACCTAGACATTAACCTGAGAATCCAATGTGGATGATTGTAATTCTAAAAACTGTATTATAATCATCATAATTTGAGTATTGCCTTGATGTAAAAATGTATGGGCATTCTACCAAATGAGCCAGATTATCATGAAGCTGCAAAAAATTATCTCCCAACAATCTTCTTTTTTTTTTTTTTAAGATTTATTTATTTATTCATGAGAGATGCAGAGACACAGGCAGAGGGAAAAGCAGGCTTCCTGCTGGGAGCCTGATGTAGGACTCAATCCCAGGACCCCAGGGTTCATGCCCTGGGTTGAAGCCAGACGCTCAACCACTGAACCTCCCAGGTGTCCCTCCCAACAATCTTCTTAAAGATTTTCTCTCTAGGCTCTCAAAAATTTCCCACTTCAACCCAAGACCAGGTTGCCCAAATGCTCCAAATGCCTGGTTTTCTTTCCTGCTTTAACAAATAAGTAAATCATTTAAATCATTTCCATGATTCGCAAATATTATTTTAAAGAGCTCCTTGAAAATAAATAAATAAATAATAAAGAGCTCCTTGATTTCAAGTGGTACAATTCTCCTGATAAATACTTGAAATTTTAAAAACTGTTCATTAAGTGTATTTACTAAGTTCATATTCTTATATTTGCATTTTTTTCTTATTTTCTCATAGAAATATTCAGATTTTAAAACAACAATTAAGTGGATTATGGGAACAGGAAAACCATCTTACTTTGGTTCCAGGATACACTGGTAATATAGCCAAGGTAATCTATATTTAAGCGTAAAAAGTTAAGCTTAAAATCTCTATTTAAGCTTAATTAAATATTAGAAATAATATGTTGGTATTATGCATCCATAAAGGAAGTCTTTCAAATATCCAATATAGTATTATTCTAATAAGGCCTAAAGTCAGTTTCATATTTACAAATGCTTAAGGTCCTCTGGGTATGAATATGACTTTTGCAAGGAACACAGGAATTAGCCATTGAATATGTTTCAGATATAGCTGTGGAAATGATGTGCTAGAGGGAATTTAATGAACTAGTTCCATTAGAGAAAAGGTTAAGAACCCAGGTTAGGAAGACATTTGAAAAGATAGGGACACTCAGGAAGCAAGGGGATGAGGAACCTGATCAAGTGGTTTCAGGGTATTAATTCTTTCGTGGCTTTTGCTAATGTCATGCTTTTGGGAAAGTAAATGTTCAAATCACAGTACAAATTTGACATTATTCTTTATTTTCTTATCTCTTAAAGGAAAATGCACATTGCTAATTTGGATTTTAATATTTAAACTCCAGAAAACATTGGTAGTTAAAATATAATTTCAGGGGGAAAAAAATCACTGTTAAGAAATATTTGCACCTGTTTACTGGGCATAAATGGGCATTAATTACAAATATACAAGCATTCTTCAGTTTAAAAACACAGTATTCTAAGTAAGAGATAATTATGTTATGGGCTTAGTTGCGATATTCTACTTGTATACCTTCAAGAAAAGAAGCAAAATGATGTATCAAGTGTGTTATAAGTGTGTGTAATTTTACTTTGTAGAATTCTTAATGAAAATGTCATAAAATCAATTTCCCAGTGTTGTTTTAATTTGTTCTTTCAATAATGGGAGGGAAAAGAAAGTAAAATTTGATAGAAAATGGATATAGAGCATGCATCATATATCACCTCATTCTGGAGGCACCTTGCATTCTTGTTAGTACTGAAAAAATATTGTTTCCTTAGAAATGTGTTTTCAATTGCAATTTTTTATCCAGAGAAGCTTTATTGTGACTATGACCTTAAGATACTATATTTATTATTGAATAGAATAGTGAATGATTACAAGTTCTGTGAAGTTCCTTTAACTGGGATAAAAACCTCTTTTACAGTGTTAAACCCTCAATTGTTAATTTTTTCAGGGTAGAAATCAGAAAGGCTGTGTCATCAAGCTGGCCTAGAGTTTATATAACACTGCAGGAATTGCTAGAAGTGATTTCATGATCTTGCTTCACTATAAAAGCAGAGTTGTTTGATCACAGGAACCAAAGCATTCACTCAACACTTAAACATTTATTGAGAATGTGCTGTATGCTTTTAGCCAGACCCTGGCTAAACAAAATGCAGCTTAATTCAGTAAGACACATTTTTTTTACCCTCAGAAGGTCACAAAAGAAAGCAAAAGCAAGTCAAGTGACAAAAAGGGAGAGGAAAATGGGGTGTGCATCTGTGTATTTGCCGTACCAGCTAATGAAATGTTTTTGTTTTGTTTTCTAAGGATGTAGACGCTTATTTATTACAGTTGCATTGAGAGAATCTGTCTATTAAAGAGCATTTGATTATTCAAAACATCCCTAGACTGAGCTTTCCAAAAAGAATTTTCATCTGAGAACTGTGAACTGTGGAAGAAATAAAAACTTTTTTTTTCTTTAAAAAGCCGCATATGAAACCACTAATGAAACCCTAAGAATCTACTTCACATTGAAGTGGGAAAATATCCAAAAGGAGCAGCTTCAACTTCAGTGAGGTGAAAGTGCACTATGAGGATGGTTCACCTTTGCTGCATTTGAGATTTATATGATTATTTGGTAACATTGTTTAAGAACTACTGGGTCTTAAAAAAAAAAAAAAACAACTACTGGGTCTTAATGCAATCCTGTTTAAGAATATAATTTATACTGTGTCAAAAAGAAGACAGGACTTATTACTAGGAATCACAAAGACCAATCATAGTGACTTTTTGAAGATTGTGTTTTATAAGAAAACACTTAAATGTGTGCAGCTATTTTCTTATTTTGAAAAGACTTTGCAAGTTTAAATGTCATAGCAAATAATCAATACTAAAAATTTGTCCACACTGAGACACTGTGTATACAAAAAGCCTTAATTATTAATAAGCCAATGTGTACCAATATCTGCTTTAAAAAATTAAAACCAGCCATGCTTCTGGCATGATAAAATCATGGAATCAAATCAAGGGTTTCCATTCATGTAGAACATTGTTGTTAGGACTTATTCCATACCATTTTTAAAACTTGAGAATATTTCTAGTATCTTTGATTTTTTTTTGTCAGAATCATTGTCATGTATGTATGTGTTATTCCTATATAAAAAGAAAAAAGTGAATATGTATTTGTGTGAATGCTAACTGGAAATGTCCATGGAATTGGCTAATTTATATTCACTTTTTATTGTATATAGATTTCTAATATTTTCAGTTCTGTATCATTTAAACTTTCTTCATTTGAGTAAATTCACTAAATATTTCTAATTTTTGCTTCATTTAATTCTACTTTTATATCAGTTCCAATTCTTTTTCACTACTCATGTTTTAAAGAATTACATAGAGTTCTTTAGAAACGTTTACAGTTAGTGCTGACCTTGTTTTAAATTCCAACCCTTTATGTTACTACCTCCTCCAGTGGTTGGTATGAAATGCCAGCAGACCATATAAGGTCCTTTTTTTTTTTATGCCATTTTTAGTGTCAGTGTACCCACTTCTGGAATGTCTTAACAGCTGTATATCTTATCTTGAAAGTGATTGGGATTTAAATACCACTATTGGTAGTTTGTGCATCATCTCATCTTTATAAGCCTGAGAGGTATCTGAGCAAAGATTTTTAGTAATTTCTCTGCAATAATTCTAAAAGCACTTGAATGTAAATCTTTAGCATGTATCCAGTTAGCCAGTACTGATGTGAATCCCAACTTTTTTCCCTTAAAAATGTTATTTGTCACTGAGCTTTACTTTTTGTGTACCTATATTTCATATAGCTATGTATTCCTCACACTGAACATCAATTTTAATAATTGGTTATTTCCTTAAGTCTTTAGAATAATTTAAGAGTACGGCATTTCGGTGATTTGAGAGTTGAGTTATTTAGAAGTTGTTTTTCAGAAGGTGGGAATTTGAATAATTGTCAACCTGCGTCATCTCTGTGAAACCTTAAGATGATGAAATATAACCTTTCTTTGTTCCTATTCCTTTAATTATCACTGTCTTATCTAACAGTTTGAACCAGTTAACTCAGTTGGAGCAGGTGCTAATAAGGCTAAGGACAGGAGTTCAATCCTTTTATAGGTTGATTAGCTTTACACACATACACAGAACTATTCATGGCTACAGATTACAACTTAGGTACATATCTCACAAATTCAGCTTAGTCACAAGGAAGGTGATGTGTATAGCTTAGCATAAAACTTTCATCTCAAATGGATAAACAACTCAAATAATGGGTATTTGTGATAGTATAGACTTTTAATCTAATATTTAAACATAGTATTAATGTAATATCTACAATATTGTGTCACTGTAATTTTCTCTGAGTAAGATCATTTTCTAAATAGTATCTTTTAAAAATCAAATTTCAATAAATTAAATTTCAGTAAAAATTAGATACAAATAAAACATAGTAAGAAAAGGTGAAATCCTATTAACACTGAGTTCTTGTGTCTAAGTTTGAGTTTGTTAAAGGAAAGTATACTCGGAGGTATATGAGGCAGTAGAGTCTTTAGCTCACAAATACTATTCAGTACCACACAACTCCTAATTTATGTTCTTGGCCCCATTGCAGTTTATGTTAGTACCTACGTTCCTCAGTTACTGAGTTGTGATTAGTATTATTTTTAGTGCTATTTTTAGATTTTTGGATAAAATAGGTAAGTAAATAACTGCTGAACACTTTGGTTGCTATTAAGCTCCTCTTATGCTATTTAATCAGAACAGTGTTGATCTGATCTTCAGAAAGAGCCAAAGAGTTTCCAAAGTACTTTGGCTGTTATATTGACCTACATTAGAACAATTACTGTCTGTCATCACTCATTTGTTATTGTGCTGCTGAGCAGTATACAGAACTGAGGGACTACCCAACATCTCTATGCCTTTCTACCTCTTCTACCCTCTTAGATATTCTGTACTTGACTTTGCTAACTTTGCAGGTCTAGGAACAGGAAGTTTATTGAGATGATAGAGGGTTGTAATCAAGTAATTTGCTTCTACTAGAGATAAAGTGAATGAATTTTGTAGTAAGTGGTCATGAGCAGATAAGGGTTAAAAATTAGGAAGCAAGCATTATCAGATGGTTTTTAAAATTAATCATTTGGCAGTAATTTCAAAAGTAATTTAACAGATTATTTACTTGAATCCTGAGATATGAGGTTTGGATATAAATACTGTATCTACTTGGGGAAATCATTAATATCAGCACTAAACTCTAAGGGCTACTAAGGAATGAAATCTTTATGCCCTTAAACATTCTTGATACATGTTATATCCTAATCTTAAAAATGGTCATATGGACTCAGGGCTACATTTCTGGCTTTTGAAATAGTAATAATTTTCACAAACTTAGAACATTTCTGTATTTGGCAAGTTGTTGGTATAATTAACATGAATGGATAACTTGAGAAATGATTATTAGCTATTAAATGCTGATAGTAGGAATTTAATATAATATTAAATATTTAGCTACTTAAATCAGTCAAGGAGCTTGAAAAGCAAATTTTAAGTTAATATTTTAGCAGTCACTCCCAGTTATCTTCCTATTTAAGAGCAAGATGGTAATGTCAATTGCCTTTGTTGATTTAAAGAAGAAAAAAAAAGAATCACAAGCAACTGACTTAACTGGAGTGATCCATGTGGATGCACTACTTATATTTCAATATGAATTTTTATTTTCTGGATTACTTCAAATGGAAATAGTATTGCTGGACATTAGCTGGTATTCATTCTCCCTTAATTTCTAACTCTATGAAAATTGACATAAAACTTTGTGACTAACTACTCCTACTTTTTTATTCTGTAACAAGAATATAGAATTAAAAAATTCATCCCTAAACACTGTATGCCTGTAAGTTGCAAGATAGCTTGATTGATTCAGTAGCTATGACAATAGGTATAACAATAAAAAATACTATGTATTATATACCTAGTATAATGAGTATATTTTCCAATGCTGTACTTAATATTTAAAATATTGTAGCCATTGGGTAGCCCCAGTGGCGCAGCGGTTTAGCTGCCGCCTGCAGCCCAGGGTGTGATCCTGGAGACCCCAGATCGAGTCCCTCTTCGGGCTCCCGGCATGGAGCCTGCTTCTCCCTCGGCCTGTGTCTCTGCCCCTCTCTCTGTCTCTCATGAATAAATAAAATCATAAATAAATAAATAAATAAATAAATAAATAAATAAATAAATAAATAAAATATTGTAGTCATTGTAACCTTCTCTGGGTAAGATCATTGACTTAACAGCATCTACTAAAATCAAATGTCAGTAAAAATCAAGTACAAATGAAACATAGTATATACCACCGTATTTTCTCTTATAGACTGTGATTAATCATAAAACACAAAAGACAGTGACTTCTATAAAAAAGGCAGCCCCAGAGCTGCCAGTGTTTTTCATAGCAAAGCTTGTTATATATTATTGCTTTGATAAACAGCATTACCATTATCTGAATTACAAAGTTTTCAAATAAGAGATGCCAGGAGTCTAGATGAGGATTCAGCCCCCAAATACACTTGAACTAGTATTGATTTTTATCCTTTACAGTGTCCTGTACTTTCATTCAGATTTAGACCAGGATTATATTATATATATAGTCCTGAACCTAGCCAAGACTGTTATGACACCATGAATTGCCAGAATTACTTGCTTCTAGAATTAACTATCAACCAAACATGCAACATGGAGCTTGAGTTAGAATTGGACCTCATCTTCCAGAAGTCAGGAGGAGAGGTTTAGTGTCCATTTACTTTTTTACTTTGATTTTAAAAAGAGAGGGAAAAAAAAAACTTCATTAGCCCTTTGTGTACAATTAGTTGACTAGATGAATGAGGACCTAATTTACCCCTGACTTGCCTTTAGTATACTCCCCAGTTCTCTTCTGTACAACTGTAGTTTAGCCTCAACATTGGCAGGAGAAACGCAGGCTGATACTTTTAGGCAGATTCTAAAGCTCAGAAAGTTTAGGAGGGACCTATCTTTCGCCCTTAGCTTTCCAGATTCCTTTTCCTCTCTTTAGATCAGAAATTGGTAGAGGGGACAACAAATTCACTTCTCAGTCCCTTCTTTTGAAGACTTCTCTGCCTATCCCTTAGATGTCAGCATTTAAAGTTCTGTTTTTAGGTCTCTTCTCACTCTACCAGTTCCCTGAAAAACACTGTTTATTCCCATAGTTTCCTGTACTGTCTACATTCATTGTTCTCATTTTGGGGGTGGACGAGAGGCTGTTTTTTGATGGATCAAATGGACATGGGTTTTTTTTTTTAAAGGTTGTGAAAACATTGAACATATTTATCATTCTGAAATATCTTGCCTTAAATCTCTTAGCTCATAAATTATATCTGCAGTTGCCTACTGAGAACGTCCATTGGGACATCTTGTAGTCCGGTTAAATTCAGTATATCCAGAATTGACCTCATTCTCCACCTCCACGAACCCTACTCACCCCTCACTCCCCTCCCCCCTCCCCGACCCCCAGGGACAGAAAGTATCCTGGTCCTGGGTTTCCATTCTCACAGAATAGCCCTAATGTCAGCAATCAAGCCACGGAGCTTTGAATCATCTCCAAATTAGTCATCAGATCCTGTTGGTGCACATCCCTCAGTTTCTCTCATCTTACGTCTCTCCACCTCCCCCGCTATGACCTTAGTCTACATTATTCCAGCAGCCCCCTGCTGGTCTCTGGCATTGTTCTTGCATCTCTCTATGCTATCCTCCTCACAAGCTGCCCTCGCATAGTCAATAAAGCACAAATTTTACTTCCTAAGGCCTCTTAGAATACACAGCATGATCTATAGTCTGTTGACTCCTCCTCCTCCTCTCTTCCAGTGCTTCAACTAGAATGAACTTATTTCCATTTCTGGGAAAACTGCAATGCTGAAAACATTCTTCGCAGATGTTTTGTGTGCCGGAACAATCTTCCCCAAGTTCACCCATTTCTCATTTCCTTCAGGTCTCAACTGAAACGCAGTTTAAACACCTCCTCAAACCATCTGGGGTATCTGCTACACACCCTCATCTTAACCCTGTTGCCCTAACACTACTGTTAGGTCAGTGTTTTCTAACTGTTCATCTGTTGTCCCAGCTAGATTGGTAACGTCCTGAGGCCGAGACTGTTCTCTGTCAGGTGTCTTGTACCGAGCACAAAGCCGGGCAAACAGTAGGCATTGATTCTTACAGAATAATGCAAGGATTGGCATCTTTGGGCATACATTGTTTGAGGAAGTTATTGAATAATCCAAAGCTGTTTGTGACAGCAGCTAAAAATGAATAATTTTAGAATAAGAATATCCAGTTTTCTTCTCTCACTTTTTTGATTTAGGAAATTGGTTTGTAAATGTTCATGCTACAACAGGTTAAAACCTTAGCTAAAATGTGTTTGAGGGCAGCCCCCGTGGCTCAGCGGTTTAGCGCCGCCTGTGGCCCGGTGTGATCCTGGAGACCCTGGATCAAGTCCCGCTCAGGCTCCCTGCAAGGAGCCTGCTTCTCCCTCTGCCTGTGTCTCTGCCCCTCTCTCTCTGTCTCTGTGTCTCTATGAATGAATAAATAAAATCTTTTTAAAAAATAAAATAAAATGTCTTTGATTCTTAAAGGTTGTTGCAATTGTTTTTCTATTGTGTAGTGTCTACTCTTCACATGGGATCCATGTAAGAGAGGACTATCTATAAAGTGCAAAGTGAAGGTATTTTCATGTAATATGTAAAACATACATTTGCTTGAAATTTAGGGTATCTCTTCACAGTGTTTTGTGTTTCTCTTGTTTTTGTCTTAAAACAATTGAGAATCATGTGAGGTACAGTGGCTTTTTTTCCCCCTGTAAAATAGACTAATAAAAAGAAAATCATCCATAATCTCATCCACCCAGAGGAACCAATGTGTCTCCTTCCAGATTTTCTTTTTTGTGTATGTATATTTTTATTGCAAATGAATTCAAACTCTACATAGTGATACTTGGTATATTGTTTCCTACTTTCATACACTGGAAAAGCTTGAAGGTAACTGAAAAACTTTTTTGCCTATTAAAGCTGTATGTTGTGAGCAGTTATTAACTTCTGTGGAGAAACTGGAAGTAGCCAAAAAAAAATTGAGAATTACTTTTGGAGCATTCTTAATATAGGATTCTGTTTTCTTTGACCATTGCTAATTATTACCTAATTTTTAAAAAATGCTAGCAAGAGTGCTTATAAGGAAAAACAGTTTCTCTATTTTGAAAAAAGAAACATATAAGTGTGTTTAAATGATCTTAAGTAATTAGGAACAAAATTTCAATTTATATTCTGATGTATTCTAGCCATCAAGCATAATTTTCTAAATTAGATTGCCCTTTATTTCTGAAACTCATAATGTTTAGCAATACTATGAATATCAAGTCAGTATAGAACTAAGATTTTATTTTTAAGATTCAGCTCTATCTGAATAAATCAATTCCTAATAACTTGACTCTCAATGTATTTTTTACAGAAGGTCTATCTAATGAAGTGCTTCTAGCTGTATAATTTTCTTTTCTGCCTAAATAATTTTCCTTAGATTCTGTATTCTTTTTTTTTTTTTTAAGATTTTTATTTGAAAGAGAGAGAGAACAGTCGGGGGAGGAAGGGGCAGAGGAAGAGAGACAAGCAAACTCCCCGCTGAGCGTAGAGCCTGACCCAGCTCCATCCCAAGACCCCAGGACTTGATCCCAGGACTCCAGGATCCTGACCTGAGCCCCAGGCAGATGCTTACCCACTGAGCCACCCAGATGCCCTGCCATGATACTTTTTAATTAAGATTACAGAATCTGGGGCACTGAGGTCACTGGATCAGTCTGTCTTGGGCCCAGGTCATGATCTCAGGGTCCTGGAATCCAGCCCCATGACAGGCTCCCTGCTCCCCTGCTGGGGGTGGGGGGTGTCTGCTTCTCCCTCTGCCCCTCCCCACATGCATTCTCTCTCTCAATAACTAAAAAAAAAAAAAAAAATCATTGCATTCTATCCTGAAGTCGTGTAATGATGTAATGCTAGAAATGGAGAAAAACTAATGGTGAATAATAGGAACAGAGATAGGTAAAGCTAACAATTATAAATATACACACTCATATATGTATGAAAAGTATGAATATTCTCCTATGCCTAGCATCAACCTACTATTCTATGCTAATAAACCATAAAGATTGTTATATTATTATATAGAATAAAGGAGGAGGATTTTCTCTTTTTTTCAAGATTTGAGAAAGAGCTTGTGACCACTTGAACGAGGGAAGGGACAGAGGGATATAGAAAATCTCAAGCAGACTCCCTGCTGGCTCCATCTCCATGAGATAATGACCTGGGCTGAGCCCAAGAGTGGGACAGCTCAACCCACTGAGCCACCCAGGCACCGCAGGGAGGGAGGTTTTCTTACAAATGGAGGCACTAATGACTTTTACTGAATTCTTCTATAGCATATGAATGTTTTTATACTAACTAGGTAAAACAACTTAGTCTTTGTCAACTCTAGGGTCACACTACATTGGCTTACTTTCATATCCATTCAAATGTTTGTTTTAAAGAATAGCAATAAAACTTTACTCTCCATATTATTTGTAAAGTTATTGGTGATTTAGCCAGGTATAGTTTTGTTTTCTTTGAACTTATTAAGACAACAGCAAAATAGGTCAGAAAATTGTTAGTACCCTTCTAATAATTTTAAAATATTCAAATATTTTGACATTTTATTCAAAAACTTTAAAGAAAAAAAAACAAAAACTTTAAAGATATATTAATCAAAGGTAACTGTGTAGCAATTGAAACAAAGTAAACCTAACATTTTAGGTTTTTAAAAATGTTTGATAAGGACGCCTGGGTGGCTCAGTGGTTGAGCATCTGCC